TTCCTAAAGGAAGACATTATCGAAAGCTAACAATGATTCCAGATGAAATAATATTATTTTGTCTCTTGAATTTGATGTTTTGTTCTAAATCTTCTACTTTGATTTGTGTTGGTGGAGCCTATTAATACTGTCGTTAATCACCAAAAAGGTTGATCAATTTAAACGTTGATAGGACATAGAATGTCAATTTCTAGCGTCTAAAACGAGGAATTCACAAGATAAAAAATTAAACTCTCTTTGGAGATGCAGGGGATCGAACCCTGTACCTCTCGCATGCAAAGCGAGCGCTCTACCATTTGAGCTACATCCCCTTTGGGAATTTGTGATATATTTAATGGAAAATCAAACTTTGATTTGAAAAATTAAAAGCGAAAATTAAGACTGTAAGGGACAGAATTTGTATATGAATAGGTTTTGCAGGGAAAGTGAAGAACCAGATCTAACATGATTTTCATTGGTCACATTTCGTTGGATGCAAGGAGCTGAGATTGTGTAATATGTGGAAAATACGTTCAACAATTTTGCATATATTTACTTCCTAGCCGGCCAATTTGAACATATGATATGAGATGGATAAGCTGTGATTGATGCAGTGGCTAGACTTGTCCATGAGTTTATATCGGACCGGGCCAAGTCCGTTGGTCTTGAGAAATCTTTGCTTAAGCAGTTAAGCTTGGACCGTCAGGCTTAATAATTTTTTAAAAATCATATTTTAAAATTAAAATTAAATAAAAACCATTTTTATTAATTTTTAAATATTTTAAGTAAGGTTGGATTCAAGTTTTAAATTTCATGTCCAAAATTAAACTTAAATCGACTGAATAAATAATTTGATTTTAAATAAGTTTAAAAGTGACATAAATTAAATGCTAATTATCAATCCACTTCCATCTTAAAAATAACTTTTATGGTTGAGTTTATATGACCTAAATATCCAATACAATTTAGGTATGGGTGATTGTTCGATGATAAAACTTTTGATGATAAAAGATCAAGCGCCTTGGTATTATTTAAAGATTCTACATGATATTATCATTATTATTAATCCTCCATCATCAAAACTAATGGCATATCATCTTCGAACACCTTAAACAATAAACAATTATGCATTTCTCTCTTGATGTATGTATTTGGTACTTATTTCTTTATACAATTACGTAATTAAGCATGATATAGCATCTAAATAATGGAATCGAATTATTAACCAAACCGTGTATCACTTTTTTTTAAAAGATTTTAAACTTAATTAATATATTCATAATGAAATCGTCACTAATAATATTTTATTAATAAAATGCTGAGCATTTATTTTCAGTTATCAAATTTAATCTTTACAATCTCAAATATAAAAATAATTTCAAATCACATCTTTTATTTGGAACCAAAAGTTTCCCTAATTTATAGTAGATGGTAGAAAATTATTTTTAGGAGTTATATAAACAATACGGCCCAGCCCAAATCTGCTTGGATCAACCATCACTCGGCTTTGTTTTTGGAATTACATGTTGAATTGCTCATTTTGTAAACAAAAATAGAAGCACACTTCTGCAAAATAATAGTAAGTGGATGGTGATCAAAACATCACATTCCATGCTTTTGGGTGCACTAACCCAACCAGAAACCAAACCTCCTTTTTTTTTTCGTTCTTTTTCTTATTTAGTTGTTTGTTTCTTCATTGGTGAGAAAATGGAAGAGAGGACATCGAATATCATAGGAATATACATACATATATATATATATATATATGTACATAGGATTTTTTTTCCCACTAGTGCATTTTGTTTTTCTTCTTTTCTTCCATTCCTTTTATGGACCCAACACTAGAAAAAGAAAACGTCCAATGACAACCCAACCATTGTTATTAATATACTTAATAAATTTCAAACAGATCTAGGCCTTTTCAGTTTTCTTTAATGCATTAGCAGTATTTTTCTTTTCTTTCCATTACTCAAACATGAGCCTCCAATGGATCAACTGGTATATTGGAGTAAAATTCATCCTTTAAAGAGAAAAATGGTGTAAAATTTTATTCCAATTAAATTTTCTCTTATTAGAAACCTAATATTCAAACTATTTAAGAAGATAAATTGACACTAATAGACCAATAAGACATGGTTGGTTGGAAAACGAACCAAGAGTTAAGATGCGTTAAACGAAAATGGGTTGGATTGGGTCCTAAAATTCGCCCATGAGTTTTACAAACAAGCAAACTTTCTACGCCTTTAGGTGGATCATGGTTGGGTTTGTCCAAGGCTTATTTTAGTAAAGCTAGGAGGCTGCCAAAAGGGTCAAGAACACGGTACATTTAAAGCCGAAATCACAGAAACATCCTTTCAGCGTTGTCATGTATTTCTTCTTCCCCACGTGTGAATGAGATGCCCATCTGGCCATCTCCACTCGAATCCCATGGAAACAGAAGGTCTTTTTCTTCTGAGTTTCGGAATGGAAGTCAGTGAATAAAATGAAGGAGACAGTTGGGAAAGTTTCCATCTCACAAGCTGTTCAACTTGTAATACCAAATCTTAGGAAAATCCAAACCAACAATGTGTGACTGCAATTGCGACCATTATCACCCCTCTCTCAATATCAACTATATATATTTTTTCCTTTGTGAAACAAACACTTCCAACTTACCATTTTTACGCTAATCTTCGATTCATCTAATTTCATTACTAGGAAGTATTTTAAGTTTAATGACTCTCAAAATATATAAAATTTGGAAATTCAAGGGTGTGTTGTATAAACTATACAAATATAATGTAATAATTTTTTATACAAAGCGGTCACATCCACTTAATAAATTCTAATTTTAAATAATGTAATAATTTGAGATTAAATAAAAATTTTAATTGATAATTTTTTCTATTATTCTAAAAAAAAAAATTTAATTCCAATATTATCTTATATTAATTACGTCATAAAGAAAAAAGATTGATATGTAGGTTAAAAAAAAACTCAATGACTCATTCAGCCATCCTAGTTAACTAAGATAAATTCCTGTCATTTTAATTGCTATATTGATTAATCTTTTAAGGAATCAATTTTTTTTTTTGGCTAGAAGGGAATCAATGTTCATTTACGTTTTTTTTTTTATTATGGTCTTAAATTAATTACACAATTTTATCAATGAACTTTGAAAATAGCTTCAACGTACAAAGTATAAATCAACCTACATGTAGTTATTTTTCTTTTCTTGAGTAGGGGACCTCTTATAGGGACAAAATGAAGCTCCCAAACAGCCTAGTCACTAGACTGCCCCTCACCTACATTTCTAGACCCGTTGAAAATAGCCGAACAAAAACAACCCATTCGCCCAATCTCCACAAGCTAGTGCATCAAGTGAGTGGTAGAGAGGTTCATCTTATTCTTCACCATTCAAGTTGCCTCCTCCAACCCCAATTCAATTGGACTCACCTTCCCTCATTGATTTGCGCATGCACATTGATTAAAACAAGGCAGTCCCCCAGACAGTGTAATAAAAGTCGCGGCACTCACTTTGTCACTACAACAAAATTTACAAAATTTTGGTCCACATTGCCTCCCTAGTGAACAACCCTAGTAATTAACTCATTTAAGTGCTAGACCAATTCATTGGATGCAGCGAACCAGTCTTATCTGTTGGAAATTTTGCTTTGATCGAATGTGGGTGGCACCACTGTACCGGCGTCTGTGGGCTGCCCCGCCTTAACCGTCTGTCTCGCCGGCTTTGCCTCTGCCTTGGGGGGGGGGGGGGGAGGCCCTCCCATCACGTGAATCCCGCATGGTTCCCTTTCAATCTTGTCCATTCTATTACGAGCAATGGCTAATGTGAGTTGAAATGTGTTTCAGGTTTGAAGGCGGGCAATGTTATCAAACTACATTTTATTGGAACTAGTTTTGTTTGCATATAAGCCAAAAAGTGAGACAAATGTAGATAAGAAATACAGTAAATTAATCAAAATTGTAGTAACTATTAAATTATGTTTATGATTCAGCACCAAACATAACACAAACAAATCACATAGGGAATATGTGTTTTGTTTAAACATGACAAAGTTATCTTTTTGGGAAGACCATTGGGACAGTTTTGCCGTGGGTTGCATTCTCCACGATGCTTTTGCTTTTCTTTCTCTCTCTCTCCATTCCCAAATTAAAATAATGACAAAAAAAAAACCCATTTTTTCTTGACAGCAAAAGATGCGGTCTGCCCTTAAACAATTATTCTTTAAGGAGTCCTTCTATGTTTTTTTGTGTAATAAATTATAAAAATATGAATATAGTGCTCTAAGTGTGGATTAATTAATAATATATTATATGTTCTTGTCTTGCATTGCATTATTTTTATTTTATACCTATGAATTAGGTATGGTATAGCTAGGTGACTACTTTGTTCCGTACAATTCATTATTTTTATTTAATGAATATTCTGAGTACATGAATTTAATTAATAGCTTAAAATATTATTACAAAAATGGAATCTTTAAATAAAGTTGAACTTGAAATTTGGTAACGGAAATATTCTATTCAACGCATCGTCTCACTCACCTTTCTTTGCTTCAACACAAAGTTTAACAGGAAAAGAAAATTGTATAATTTGAAAGCAGCAGTTCATAAAAATTGAATTGTTTTAGATGGATTTAACCTGTGGATTGAACATCTTATCAACAAGACAGAGAAGCTAAGGGAAACGTACCAGATTAGGTAAGTGTTTTACAATGAGGAAACCAAAGACGTGTCCATGATTTTGAATGCAAGGGAAATAGAGAGGGTGGCCCCGGAGGTTTGACTATCACGTTCAGACCTGAAGCCTAAACTGTGATTTGCTGTCAATCTCATGGGGGCCCCTTTCCCTCAAATCTCAAAACCCAGTTCTCGAACTCCTCACTCTCCCCGTACTGCGTGTAAGCTATTTCTTTTAACAGAGCAAATTAAAAGGAAAAACACAAAAAAAAACACTACTAATTAATGATCAAATTTGTTCATTTAATTTGCATTTATCTTACAAGAAATTTTTACTTTTTTTAGTATAATTGTTTATGAAAATCCCAACTCTATTAATAGACAACTGATTCATAAATGCACACTCTTCGTTTCATATTGTATTTCCTCCTCTCCCACTGTCAAAGTGAGAAAATTCACGAACCGAAGAGTTGAAAAAGAGGGAAAAGAACTCCCAGTTTTGGTGCGCGTGAAAGTTGGCCGTGTAGTAAGCAAAGATACGGAAAACAATGGGAAGCAACTAAGGAAGCAGAGGGGGCAAATAGGTCGGCTAAAAGTTAGGCAAAGCTTGGACCCACTTCACCAGATATTACCCTCTGTCTGCTGTATGTCCCCATCTCACCCTCTAACCTTTCACCTTATATTAAATTCCCGAACTTACCGAGTAACCCAGATTTCCTTGACTCTTGACCTCCACCCTTCCCCAAAATGACCCTTTTTTTTCCTTGCTTTGCTTCTCTCACGCTGTAGCGTAATAGCAACTGCACTTTGCGTCTTCTGAAGTATTCTATTCTATTTTATTTTGGAGGCAATCTTTGTTTTGTTATTGTTGGACAATTCTAGTTTTCTATTGTTATTGATGTGCATGGAGCTCCAACTGGGACTGGCTCTTCCAAGTTCTCCTCCTATTATTCCCATCAAAATGTTCGACCTAAACAGCTGTGGTTACGAGCCTAGGGAGGCATTGGGTTCCAACAACTTGAGCCGGCCTTTGCTAAAACTAGGTCCATATGACATTGACATCAACAGCAGCAGCAGCAGTAGCTCTAGCAGCAGCGGTGGCAGCAAAAAACGCGGCTTTGATGGAGTACTACTCTTTGATGAGAACAGAATTGTTCCGAAAACGCTGCCTCTTTTGCTTTGGACTAACCAACCTAATGATGAAGATGACCCTAAAGATATCGAGGACAACTCTTCTTCTGCCAATTTCAAGTACTTCACTTTCTCTCTTTTCTTTTTGTTTCCTTACGTTTGTTTCGTGCTCCTGTCTGTGTTTTTATTTGTACTTGAACTGTGCCTATGCTTTTTTTTTTTTTGAGCTTTTCATAACAATAAAAAAATGCAAAACTTGAGTTGTTGTTAGGTTTTTTTCCTGGGTTATCATCAATTTTCTTGATTAATTAATGTTGGGGAATTTGCCATTGATGGGGTATAAATCTTTGGTTTGATAGGAATGATGGAGAGGGTTTAGTGGGGTGGCCACCTGTGAAAACCTGGAGGAAGAAGCTACGCCTCCAAATTTCCAATGGCGGAGCAGATAACAATCGCATGGTGGCGGCGGCGGAGAATGGCTGTGGTGGTAGGGCTTCAAATTCCACGTACGTGAAGGTAAAGATGGAAGGAGTTGCAATTGCCAGGAAAATTGACCTCAGCGTCCATCACTCCTTTGAAACGCTTACTAGCACCCTGATGAGAATGTTTGGTATACGTAAGTAAACCCAAACCTTGCTTAAACTTAATTAGAATTTAAACATTAACTTTGATCAACAAAGCATGAATTAACTGTTAATTTTCCCTTCTTGTTTGGGAACAGCTGATGAGAATTGGAATAGCTTTAAACTCACTTATCAGGACACAGAAGGAGACTGGTTGCTTGCACAAGATGTTCCCTGGAGGTACTTTTCTTCTTTTTGTCTTTTCCTAGCCTTACTTGTATGAGATATTTACACCTGTTTGCTGAGGTAGAAACTGATGGAATCAAACTTGGTGATTTCAGGACCTTTATTCGCTCCTTGAAATGCCTGAAATTAATTAGAAGCAGCGGCTAGCAAGTGGGTTTCTCATGGACCACATCAAAATAAAATTATCAAAATCGTCGGCCATGTTTCATCTTCCTTAATGTTGGTCTTCAAAGAATCCTGGTGGCCTTTTTTTTTTGCTTGAATTTTGAACGAGTACATGTAATATATATAGTAATTTAGCTCTTTTTGTGTAGAATCTGAAACAGCAATCAGCTCTATGATAATTGCAAAAAGACTAGAAAACATATGACTTGGTGATAATATTTGAATCTGCTTGAGCCGCCTCTTTCTTTAAAGCACAAGCACTTGATTGACCACCATGGTCAGGCAATATTTAAGTGCGATAACTTTTAATGTCTGCTTCAATTATTCTCACACATTTTCATACTAATGGTAATGGAGTAGCAACTTGTGGATATTCTTAAGCATAAACAATTTGGGCCCATCAAAAAGGCCGCTGATTTCTTTTTGAGTGGAAGGTTGCTGGTTACCCTTTTCAGACGAGACTGTCGCAATCTTACTGAAGATTGTGGCTTTTTAAGCTTTTCTGTTTGTTTGGGAATACCCAAAATCCCAAAACGGTAAATGAGATATCTAAGTTGCAGAGTCGGGGCTACTCAATGGGCCTCCTTACCAGCACAAACAACATGTTAGGATGGACTCTGGGCCATTACAGCTAAAGTTATGGACTTGGCCCACTACTAGTTGTTAAACTAGTAATTACAAATTTTAGTAACCTTACCTTTGCATATACGAGGGAATTAAGAACTTTTCTTCCCAAATCATGTTTTATGAATGAACTGTAGAAGGAGAACTGTCAGGGAAAGCAGTTAAACTCGAATCCGATGAGTGATGAGTTTTGATCCGATCAGATCTTTTACGGTTTCTTTTTTTAAATTAGATAAGATTAAGTTGGATCAAGTAATAGTGAGAAAAAATTAGGTTTTAGACAAATTCGATTTGACCCTATATATATAAAAAATAATTTTTAAAATTATTTATTTAATTTTATATTTTTATTTATTTATTTATTTATATATTTATATTAAAAATAATATTTTATATTTTAAAAAATAATATTTTATTAATTTTAAGTAAGATCGATTCGAGTTTGATTTTATACAATGTTTGATCAAATCAAATTCAAATATAAAAAATAAAAAATTTATCGAATTAGATCAGATTCAGATTATATATATATAATCAGATCGAGTTCAGGACGAACAAAAACTCATCTTAACCTAATCTATTGTCGTCCCTAAAATTAGTGGGTAAAAAATAACTTTATTTCTTAAAAACTTTTTTTCTTTTTTTCTAAAATTGAACAATTCATCTAACATCTAATAGCCTCTCATCATATATATAAAACCAGCAATCATTCAATTTTGGAATTACTAGCATTATTATTCTACACCTAGCATTGACAAAGGTACAAACCCATTAAATCCTTGGCCTAGTTAAATTCAATTGAGGGGAAGAACTATAGGAGCATGATGTAGGAACCTATAAGAAACTTTTTTTTCCCCAATTTAACCATTCATTTAGCAATCCAATCTCTTTTCTCGTAAAGCCACTAACCATGCTGTTGATGTCTTGAGGAGGTTTGGACTGGTTGAAATTTATATACCACTATGCTAAATCTACATCAACCAGCATACAAAATCAATCAAAACTCTACATTACTTGGAATCAACTAAAATTTTAGATTTCATCCTAATTATTCATTCAAATTGATGGGAAAGCATATATAAATAATGAATTCGCACAATTCAATATTTCTAATGCTAATAAGACGAAAAAAACAGTACTCAATATAAATACATAGTTTCTTATTATTATGTTTAAATTTATTGTTTTCATTATTAACTAGTTTATTATTAATTTTAACTTTTCCTTTAAATACATATATATTCCTTCACTCTTGGCCTTTCAAAATCAAATTTCTATCTTGGCATACATATATATATATATATTTATTTATTTATTTATTTTAGAAGAATATGGTCCTGCGAATCAGATATATGTGTTTTTTACGCTAGGATACATATTTTAAATAGTGAATATATAAGGTGTTTTTCCAAATAAAATGTCGTAATTATCAAAATTCATGTATCATTATTAAGAACTATTAATTAAAAATAATATTTTATAATAATAAATTATATAATAACAATCCTTTTCTCCTTTGCTTAGTTTCACCATCTGCTACTCCGATCTCTCTCCTTTTTTCATTCATCAAAGAAATAAGATTGGAATAAAGCAAACAACCAAGTCGATTGGATTACAAAACAACCCGGTTATAAAGAAACATAGATGCATGCAATGTCGAAGGAATTAAATATCATTCTAAAGTTCAAGTTGTGCGAACCCTCGGATTCACGACATCAATACAAAATTTATGTGATATTTTTGCCAAAATCAAGTGGGAATTTTGAAGTAACATGGAAAAAAAATTTCTGATTAAAAGATGTTGAACTTTCATATCGAAGCTTTTCAAGAAATATGGATATAAATATATAATAAAAGTAATTATTTTACTAAAACTTTTTAGATCAGGATTATGAATATGTAAAATATACGTTAATGAAGTAAAATTATCAAATACCGATAGGTAAAAAGACATTCCAAAAACCAAGAAATAAAACAAATAATTGTACACCAAGATTTATGCAACATCAGCTCGCTATTTCAATAATATTATTTTTTTTAAGTTATAATTATACTAATCAAATATTATATTTATATTATTAATTGAATAATCAATTATTAAATCATAATCAAGTAATAATTACTGAATTATTAATTAAAAAATTAGAATATAGCTAGACAATCAAACTCACACAATAAAACTTGAACCTAAAATTTTAAGATTCTAAGACCTATTTCTTAAGACATGAGCAAAACATATATAAATATATTGTAAGTAAGAAATCTAAACAGAAATTAGAAGAAATTTTGATATGCGTATAACTCATAGGAAAATGGTGTTTTACACCCAAAAAACTAACAACCGAAATCTACAATGAATAAAACAAAATGTAACCGCCAAAAATACATTAGTGAAATAGGTAGCCTGTAAGGAAAGCATTGAACCCTTTAATTCTAATTATTAATATTTAAATTTTGACAAATTTAAGCTTAAAAAAAAAAACCGAATTCATTGAAAAATTATACTATTGAAAATTGAAAAGAAATAGAACTTTCAGATCCAAACATTAATTGAAGAAAATTAAACAAACATTTGTATGGGGTATTTATTATTTAACGTAAAAAAAAAGAGAGTAAAATTTGGAGTTTTAATGTTTGACGTCAATAGGGAATAATAAGCAAGGCAATTGTCTTCAGCTACTTGGTCTCGTGGCTAAATAAGCCTTAAAGAAGACATAGGATTGAGGTTCGACCCTAGCCTCACCCCTTCTTCTATTGATGTAAAGCTCTGTCACCCTTGAAACAAAAAAAATAATAATAATAAGCAAGGCAATTAACCTTATTCTTACCTAAATCTATTCACTCTAAATCAAAACACCTAAACTATTAGATTAAGACGTCCATATTTGGGAATAATTAAGGAGTAAACCTCAACTTGCATGCCTTAATTTGAATCCTCTTTCCATTTAGTGCACAATGTTGTAAGTAAATTTATATAGTAAATGGCATTAACATATACTTATAATATTGCCTTATGAGTTACTTATGATGCAACCTAAAACAGGTACTTGATTAAATATATATATATATATGGTAACTCCTATATATTAAGTAAATGCATTGAATATTTATAAAAATAATAATTTTAAAGGCTTTTTTTTTAGTTAAACAATGAAAGAATTTTTTTTTTTAAGAAGGATTCTTAAAAAATCATCTCCATGTAAGTTTGTACACAAAAAATTTCAAATAAATCTAATATCTTTATTATTTCAATTGAAGATATTATTTTTCAATATATATTTAAGGATTAAAATTTTTTATATAAAAATAAATAGCTATACATGTTTAATTAATTCAAAATTTAATATGCATGATTTTATAATTTATGTGAATAGAGAATAAATATAACGATTAAATTAAATAAAATAAATCATATAAAAAATGTAAATTTATATTGATTTTACACAAATGGAAGTCAATCCTTCCTATTTAAAAATAATAAAACATTAATCATAATTAATTAGAAAGCTTTCATCAATGATTTATTTTCTTTTAATTATTTTCATAAAAAAAAGTGGAAAGGCTATATCAGTCATTTATTAAAACCGGCCAATATTCTGCCTTAGTACAGCATGCCACGTCATCACGTAATCTCTTAAACTCCATGCCAACTGCCAAGTGTGTTTCGCATGAGGTAACTCCCCTCCCCTGCCCCGACTTCATTTACATCCCCGAATCTCCCCAAATAGGAAACATCCACGTGACAAAATTGCACGTGTAGATCAGCAACTGGTTGAATTCAATAGAACAGTTAAATACAACTGTAGACGAGAATCATCTTACATCCCCCCTTTTTTTTTTTTACTGTCTCCTGGTTTTCTCCGTCGTTGTCAAGTGGGCCGCACTCTTCTCTTTGTCTCTCCCATTCAGATTTTCATTTTGCCAAAAATATAGTTTTCTCCGAATAATTTTTTTTTTCTTTATCCCTCTCCTTCTCTGCATGTTGTCCCCAGTATTTTTAGTACTAGTAGCATTTAACCAAATAAAAAATGGTGGGAGGGATTAAATTGTAATATTCTTATATTATGGCGGCGTCAAATCTCTCCTCCCTCTCTGCATCCTTCAACAGAAAAAAAAGGTGAACATTTTTTTCTTCTTTATTCTCTAAATGGAATTCTGCTTTTTTGATTTTTCGTTTCTCTTACTTTTCTATCATTAACTTTTGTTTTAGCCTTTTAAGATTTTTTGTAAATAAATATCTTCTATCTTCAATTTGTTTGTTTTTTTTTTTTTGGTTATAATTTTATCGTTAAAGTGATTGGTTTTTTTTATCGTGAAACTGAGTTTTGTTAGGATTTTAATTTGGTTTTGGAGCGTTTTTGTCAAAATTGTTAGCTTCATACAACAAGTTTTCACCTTTATTTCTTTTTTTTAAATAAAAAACTCGATTTTAAATACTCTTTTGGCTAATTCTTTGTTAGGAATGTTTTTCAGATTAAAAGACGATTACTTTGGTTTGTCAGGATTTATTCTGCATTGTAGGGAACACGACTTTTTTTCTTTTTTGGATTGCAGTAGAAATTTCCTTTATTTTATTTTTTGTTTATGGGATTTTCTTGTGTTTCTATGGTTATTATTTTTTTCAGTTGAATGCTCAAATTTCCCTCATTTTTAGTTTTTAGATGATTCTATTTACTTGGGTATTGACTAAAACGTAAATAAATACAGTGATGGTCAAGCCAGGATAAGCCCGAATTGGCCTTGTCTATGGTTTATTTCTGTGTCTTTTTATAATTTTTTTGCCTTTGTTGTTTGCTGACAATAATATATGATAATTTGAATTGTGGGGAGTTTGTTCATTGTGTGAAATATGGTTATCGACTAAGTTTCTGTTTCTCCACATACCTTTATCCATTTCATGTCATGTACAAAAATTTTGGTTGCTTGATTGCGGATTTAGTTATGTTCAGTTTTCTAAGGTTGACATCCATTAGTATTTTTCACCTAATGAGAAATCTGGTTTCTCGAATATGGTGTTGGGAATTCAGCAAGAGGTGAACCTGAAAAAATACTTTTTGTTTTTGGTAGTCAATGTGATCATATTTGATTGTGTTTTAGCGTTGCAAAAGATTATCTTAACTACCGGTGAGGTGATCATGACAGTTTCTAGGACTGTTATGTTTCTCCATTGTCTTCCTTGATAGGTGTTTTTTTGCTATAGAAATTTAAGTTGGCTAGAGATGCATAGCTTTGGTTTTATGCCCTGCACATTAGTATTATCACTGCATGTCCTATTTTCTATTTGAATGATAATGAGGATTTATTATAAAAGAAATGTTTGTTGGTTTAGTGGAAGTGTCTGTACAGAGCTGTTAAATCTCATAGTTTTCTCTTGTTGCTATGAAAACCTTATTGAAGGTGTCATAAGTGTACGTATAATCACCAGATCATGTATTATTGAGGAACATGCATAGGGCATAGGCTATGTTACAGTGAGAATTATAATTGCATCACAAATCTGCTATAGATGTGATGCTAGAATTTGACAAATTGGATTCAGCAGGAAGAATGGCCCTCGGAACTTTTATCTGTTGCTAAATTTTTTATATTCATCCATGAATATTGACTTGATATAATATTTTGTTTGTTTGTCTTCCCTATCCTCATTGTTTGGTTAACACTGGGACAAAAATGCCTTCATTGCTCCTTCTGAGTTTTGACGCTTTACTCTAATGAAGAGCAGTTGGCTAAAATTTATATTTTTATTGTGGCTTTTAGACCTAAGCTTTTGGTGAGTTTTGTGCAGGTGATCAAGTTTATCAGACCTATGATTCTTTGCTAATTGAATTATCCAAGCATGCAAGCTGCTATCTCTCTTAAGCTATATACTTTAGAGCATGGCAAAAAGACTCCTGCGCCTCCCCAACAGAAGATCACCACCTAAGCTTCTTTTTGTCACCCTCTTGATACTAGTGCCTGTTTGTGTGATTGGCATACTTAACAATGGCCAGAAAATATCCTATTTTTTCCGCCCCCTTTGGGACAAGCCGCCTACCCCGTTCAGACGCCTACCTCACTATTATGCTGAAAATGTTTCAATGGAACACCTTTGCCACCTACATGATTGGTCCATACGTTCACAACCACGCCGTATATTTGACGGTATCATCTTCAGCAATGAATTAGACTTGCTTGAGATCAGATGGCGTGAGCTTAGTCCCTATGTTTCAAAATTCGTAATCCTTGAGTCCAATACTACTTTCACTGGCATCCCCAAACCTCTATTCTTTGCATCAAACCGTGCCAGGTTTGCCTTTGCTGAGGACAAGATTGTCCATGATGTATTTCCTGGCCGAATTGCATCCCCTGGTTCACATGAAGACCCATTTATTCTTGAATCACTCCAACGCAAAGCTATGAATGGATTACTTCTCACTGCGGGGATAGCCAATGGAGATCTTCTAATAATGTCAGACAGTGATGAGATCCCAAGCCCACACACTTTGAAACTTTTACAATGGTGTGATGGAGTGCCACCTGTACTGCACCTTGAATTGAGGCATTACATGTATTCCTTTGAGTTTCCGGTGGATTATAGCAGTTGGAGAGCCACAGTTCACATCTATAGCCCTTGGACTCGGTACCGACACTCACGCCAAACCAATGTAATCTTTTCTGATGCAGGGTGGCATTGCAGCTTTTGCTTTCGGAGTCTCGAAGAATTTGTGTTTAAGATGACTGGTTATAGCCATGCTGACAGAGTGAAAAGGATGGACTTTCTAAATTATTCTAGAATACAGAGAATCATTTGTAGGGGAGATGATCTTTTTGATATGCTCCCAGAAGAGTACTCTTTCCAGGAGTTGATTAAAAAGATGGGTTCTATCCCCCATTCGGCTTCAGCAGTTCATCTTCCTGCATATTTGATAGAAAATGCAGATAGGTTTAGGTTTCTTCTCCCTGGTGGCTGTATAAGAAATAAGGACGTTGCAAGCAGCCCCTGAAGTTGACACTGACCGGAAGGCCTTCTTCTCCCTTTCTCCCCGGGGATATGAAGGTGTAGCATGGCCTTGCATTTTGCTGCTTTTATAAGTTAGGGTACATGGGAATAGTTGGCCACAAAGATATTAGAAACAATTTTTAGTTTAGCTAATGTGGGTCAAACTCAAAAGATTAACTTAAAATTTTGATTATGGTGCTTCTTTCCGAATTTTGAACAATTTATTCTTACTTAATGTTTTATAATTTTTTTAATATATTGATTAGTGACATAATTTTAGTCAAATGGACATTATGTTAAAGTGGAGTAAAATAAAATAATAGTTTCATACAAAAAGATAAGGTAATAGTTTCATATAATCTTTTTCTTTGATTGACCATGTTCATATCTAAATATGATTTTTTTTTTTTAATATTTGTACAAATGGATTAATTTGGTGAAGGGGAAATGGTGTCATTAAAATAAATTTTTTTTTTTTTTTAAAGATAATGTGTCAAATATCATTATTTCAATGATTTCAACAAAAAGGTAGCTGTTCAATAAAAAAAAAAAAAAGGTGCTAGTATCTTAATTTTGTGAATTGAGAATCAAAATGATTTCTTTTTTTTTTTTACATGAAAAGAAAAAAGATTGGAAATTTACTCTTTAACTCTTTAAGCAGGAAATATATATACTTTTTATTTGTGCGAAAATAAGAACAAATAAAAAATGGCAAAGGTACAGTACAACAATAACAGGAACATTTCAAGATGGAAAAACGGGCTGGGCTTCTGCTTTTGGACGGGGCAGCCACGACATGAACAAGCCTTTAGGGGTTTCCATGAATGTTTGCTCAAAATTCTTTCTCAACTAGTAATTTGCTGATTGCGGTAATTTTTTTTTTATTTAAAAACTTTTTTATTAATTCAAAATATATATTTTTTTCATATCTTAGTATATCTTTATATCACTAATTATATTTTGTTAATAACAATAATTTATAAATTTAAAATTTAAAGTTAGAAGTTAAATATATAAAAAAAATTTGTTCATAAAGTACATAATTTATATCATGAACATCCTTGCAAGCATAATTAATATTTTTATATTTTAAATATTTCTATTTTATTATATAACCTAATGTATGTAAATATTTGATGGTATATAAAAAATATATAACAACGTTAATGTTAACAAAATATTCATTCACAAAATTTGATTCGATTATTGATAACAAAAATGATGATTTATATCATACTCGACTTACATTCATTTAAATGATTGTTTATGAGCATATTATAAAAACATAGCATGCAACAAATCTAAAATTTTAATTCATTTTCACAGCATCTATATATTAGCAATCAAAGTTAATTTATTTTTGTACAGTCGTCACATCAATTACATGATCATATTTATTATTTTATGGACTATTATTTCTTAAAAGAAAATGGCCAAAAAATTATTTTTTGTTGTTTCTTTTTCCACTAACAATTTTCCTAAGAGAAATCCAATTTTAGAGAATTTTTAACATAACCATTTTCATTATCCTTTAATTTTTTATCATATAAAAAATTAAAAATATTATGATTAATTAAAATGAATTAAAGGAAATAAATAAAATGATAGTTTGAAATTAGATTAGACCCAGTAAGCCATATAAAATGTCTTTTGAATTGGACTGGGTCTTAATCTAATGAGTTGTATCAACCACTCATATTTTGGTCCAATAATACTTGTAGCCCATCTTGTATTCTCTTTTATTATTGTATTCTATTTCTTCCGACTCCCAAAAAAACCTCGCGCTGAAAGTAGTTCGTGCTTGAGGTCGCACGGTTGTTAGGTTTAAACTACCATGACGTTACTCACGGTCTTTTGTCATCGTCGGGGATAGTGTACCACTTTTTTTTTTGACAGTCCAAATTTACCAAAAAAAACCCAACTAAAGCCCAAAAACAAAACCCTTATGACCTACACAAATCCAAACCCAAACCTAAAATGGCACAGGACAATCTTACACACAACACTCAAGATTGTTAAATTCTCGAAGCTGAGCTATATTGCATGGTCTGCCAATTGCTTTGGCACAGAGGACTTGAACGAGCAATCATGTGTTCAGTCTTTCTTAAGCCATCTGTAGGTTGTTAGAAACTTCTCATGCTATGCTATCATCCCTAGTTCTGTACCAAAATTTGTTTTTAGTACATGTGAAATCCCATTTGGAGTGCAAGCTACACAAGGAGCAAGATAGCTCTTTTTCATTTCATAAATCCAATTCTCCTTTTTAAAAATTCCAACTTCATACTAATAAATAGAAATGTTAAGTTTTGGTTGTTGAAATATCTACTTAAAATAATTCAATAGTCAATTCTAACCTTCAATAAGAGAAGTCAATAGTTACATTCTTCTCTTTCATTTAAGTTCTATTTTTATTGTTATTATCATTAATTTAGAAAAAATCAAACCTTACTCTTTAAATATAAAATACATACACTAATTATTAAACTAAAAATTACCAATGAGTTGTTAATTCGATGATATTAAAATCAATTTTAAATTAAAAATTTTGAATTTAAATTCCAATTGTAATCTAAAAAATAAAAAAATTAAATCAAATACTCAAGTTCCAAATTCTCTTATTTTAATTTACTTGCATTTATGTAAAAACAAAACAAAGAATGCAAACAATAAACAAAGGAATCAATAGTGATTTAATTTCCAAAAATGAACAAAGCTTGGTAAACAAGGAGAGTAAGGACCGAGAAATGCGAAATTCCAACCCTCCAAGGGACCCCATAAGAAAATTTGGTGTTGATGGAGATATGATTGGCCATGTGTAGAAAGCTTGTATAACCATACAAGTGAATCAATCTTTTGCAAAATAACAAATTGAAGTAGATGTGAAACGAGGGTCGTATATATGTTTGCCTTTTTATTCCACCGTCGATATACTTCGTAAACACAAGTACACAATGTGATGGAGAAAGAAAGTAGTTTATTAACTTGCACAATCCTCCAAAATGTACATTAGTGGCCAACAAAGGTTAATGTGCTAGGCAACTTCCTCAATGCCATTTAGTCACTTCCCCTCGCTATTGATGCCTATCTTCCCCAACAATTTTGGTCGCATATTTCTTGGCTTTGCATGAGTATCAAATACGGCTTTCTATTATTTCTTTTGGATAATTTTTTTTTTATATGTTACATTTAAAGCTATGAAAAAATTAATTCATTTTATTAAAATTACGAATCAAACATTTTATTAACAAGTGACACAATTGTTTGCAAAGTTCTTTTTTTTTTTTTTAATTGACAAGTGGTTAAAACCATTTAATTGTTAAACCATTAATATCATCTTAGATAAAATTAACTTAGGCTCCATTTGAATGGATAATAAAATTTAAAAAATAAATACACTATCTTAAAAATATTTTTAAAATTATTTTTTATGAGGTGTTATTGTGTGAATTATTTTCGATATATAATATTGATACATTAATAAGACATTAAATATATAAAAAAAAATTGTTAAGCAAACTTTTAAATGAAAAAGCAATATAATTCCAACTTTGAACGCAATAGTTCACATTTGGAATATGATTGAATTAATATCATGAATGTTCTTTAAATTATAAGAAAATATGCAATGTGATAACTAATTTTAAAAATATTTAATGTGATATTAAATTATAAATTTATTAATTAATATGATATTTATATAAGTATTTATTTGTGTTCTCATTTAAAATTAGTCACATTAAAAATAAGTATCATATTAACTAATAAATTTATAATTTAAATATCTCATCAAAAAATTTTAAAATTTAAATATCACATAAAATATTTTATTATAATTTAAAATTTATTTGTACATTAACCCAAAATGATCCGTCGAATAACACATGACCCACTAATTACTGACTAAAAAAAAAAAAAAAGGTTAAAAATCACCTCATCATCAATTCTAAATAAGATTCATCCCACTTACTACAAAAAAAATTAATTTTTAAGAAAGAAAGAAAGTTGAGATGAAAAAGTGGGATATCAGAGTTTGAAAAATAAACTTTGAAAAAAATTGAAAGAAAATATTTGAATGGTCTAAATTTTATTATTGTTTTATAAAAAATTCAAGATAGATAAATTATTTAATTTTTTAATTAAGATAATATATGTTAATTTGCCATTTTTATGGGGAAAAAAAAAGAAATGAAATTTTTTGCCATTTTTATTTTAAAATTCTTGTTTTCCATTCCCTAAAAAAAAAAAAATCTCGTTTTCTGCAAAAATGAAAAAACTCTTTATTTATTGGAAACGGAAAAATGGTCAATTATTTTGGTATATTTTCGGTGCAAGTTCCTAAAAGTTTTATTTGAAAGCAACTCTAGCCATGTTATGAGTTTTTAGCAAAAAAGTGCAATCATTCAAATTAAAAAAATATAATTTTTTATCCGTTAATTATAGATCAAACAAATCATGATTGGCCACATGATAATTACAATTGACTTTTTTAAATATTTATAAAATAATTTCTACACCTACATCAATCCATCATCAGTACCTAAAATTATTATAATATTCCTTATTTATTTGATATGATATTATGTATAAATTTACAATAATATCCTATTATAATTATAAAAATATTTATCTTTTTATAATTAATCATAATTATTATAATTTTTTTTTCATAATTATAAAAAAACTTATTGTATTATAATTAATCAAAATTATTATAATTTTTTTATCATAATAATAAAATACCCTTACTACCATGATTGAATACAAATATTATAATATTTCTCTTACCATAATTATAAAAATATCTTTCATATTATAATTGATAACAAATTATTATAATATATTATATTATAACGATAAATATATCTTTATAAGTTCTTTATAAAAAGTTAACATTTGAGATTTTATTTTAAAATTATTATAACATCCTTATTAAGTTACATATTAAATTTTAACATAATATAAAATTAATCATACATTAAATTATTAAAATACTTATATCATAGCTTTATAAAAATTTTAATATGTAACATTTTATTTGGAAATTATTATAATACTTTATTA